AGACACACTCATTTCATACGAAGAATTGTTTGACAAACTTTCAGATCATGAATTGTTCCTTAAACATGAGGAGCTCAAGATTTTTCATAAAATCCGAACCAAACCGGCATATAAATATATAATTTTCATAAATACTTTTAAGATTTTATATAGAATTTTCTTTAAAAAAAATGTCTAGAAATATTTGGGATTCTCTTGCGGGATATAATATTTAATAGTATATGAGTGTTCCATATTTATTAACTTTAAATAATGGGTTGTATGATCACTTTCTCATTAAGTATTACTGAAATGCGTCAATCTTTTTGTTCTTCTATATTCATATCATATGTTAAGATCTATTAAATTGTTATATCTTTTCGGATGTGAAGTGATCATTATTATTTAGGTATCATATTGATTTTTATGTTTAATCACTAAATGCGGTTAACCTTGAAAGTGTGCATCAACGAAACATTATTGTCAGACGACTAAAAAAATAACTATTATGTATTACTAAGAAAATTCTCTCATAAGAATATTTTAATAGATAATATATTTGTCAATTTTTTATATTTTTACTAAACATATATTTTCTTATCAAGAATTTAACAAAGTAAGATTGAAATAATATTTAAGTAGCAAAAAACTCAAAAAATCCGACAAAATCGAACTAATCCAAACCGATAAAGTTAATTTGGTTTGGTTTTAATAAAATCCGAACCAACCCGGTTCATGTACACCTCTATAGGTAGTACACAATTCTCTTATATAAATTAGTCTAGTACAGTGACAAAGAAGTAGACAGAAGAAAATTTTCTCTCAAGATCTTTCTTATTTACAATGATTTTCATGATGGTATCATACCAGCTCATTTGAGAGATATTTCATCTTCACTCTTTTTAGCTAAGCTTCTCCTTTTTTCGTTCATTCGTGTTCTCTTTTCTGTCTTTCTTTAAAAAAAAATCCTTTGGCCATGGTTTTCTCCTCTGAAGTAATCTCAGCAAAAATCAACTACCATCAATGATAACTCACATCCATTCTATTTGGTAGTACCAATATACCTGCACCATTTGCTATGGAATATGTGTGACAGGAGTCTAAGCTCCTCCTCCGACCTTAGAAGTGCCTGGTATCATTGGGAGCACACTTGCTTGAAGCATGCTCATAAAACCAATCATACAGACCAAGGCATCTTAAAGCACTAGGGTAGTAATAAACCCATCTGGAACCTGTGCTAGCCCTACCGGCTCGTCTTGAACTAGGATTTGCTCATCATCTGGAGCTATATGTGGCTTAGCTGATGCCGCTCTAGCACGAATGTGAGTCTTTGTAGGTGTCATTGTATGTGCTCTAGGCTGGGCTCTCACTTTGTCCCTTCCCCGATGTCCACCCCTTGTAGTGGCTACAAGCTGAGGCTCTGGCTCCTGCTTCGCTGCGTCCTAAGCACGTGTCCTCACCATCTGTAAGAGAATAGAGAGTAAAGGTTTAAATTTTAGGATTGAACAAAGTCGCAAGATAGAGAAAGAAAGAAAGAAATGAGGTTTCTCAATTGTCCCGTACCTTCTCGAAGATAAGTATAGACATCTTCATACCAATCCGCAAGACTCTACTAGATATGCTCATGACTCGTAAGAGTTATGCAACCTAGAGCTCTGATATGAACTTGTAACGATGCAAAATCCCAATCAAGGGGTTGTAATGGCACTTAACCTCATTTGCTAGGCAAGCCAATACTTAATAGTAAATAAAGAAGAAAAACTAAACAATTAATAGCATAATATCATAGTGACAACAACAACAATGGCCTAGTATAATCTCACAAGTGGGGTCTGGGGAGGGTAATATGTATGCAGACCTTACCCCTACTCCGAGGGGCAGAGAGGTTGTTTTCAGGATACCCTCGACTCAAGAAAGCAACAAGAGACGATATATTAGTACCACCAATAGAATCATAATAAAATAACAGCAATACAAGAAATACGAAATAGATGGAAGGTATAATAATAACCAGCAGATAAAGCCCTGCATCAGTAGATGACCACTAGCATCCTAAAATTAACTCTTAACTGGCTAGTCTCACTCTAGTGCGCTGTATAAATATTCAGAACTTCCCCCTGACCTACAACCTTAATGCTCGACCTCCACAATTCCCTGTCAAGGGCTATGTCCTCAGTAATCCTAAGTCGCGCCATGTCCTGCCTGATCACCTCTCCCCAATTCTTCTTAGGTCGCCATCTACCTCTCCTCGTGCCCACCACAGCTAGTCGCTCACACCTCCTCACCGGTGCATCCGTTCTCCTCCTTTGAATGTGCCCGAACCATCTGAGACTTACTTCCCGCATCTTGTCCTCTATGGGGGCCACGCCCACCTTCTCTCGAATATCTCCATTCCTAATCTTATCCATCCTTGTATCCCGCACATCCACCTCAACATCCTCATCTCTGATACTTTCATCTTCTGGATGTGTGAGTTCTTAACCGGCCAACACTCAGTCCCATACAACATGGCAGGCCTAACACTGCTCTATAAAATTTACCTTTTAGTAATAGTGGCACTTTCTTATCACACAGGACTCCCTATGCTAAACTCCACTTCATCCACCCCACCCCTATACGGTGTGTGACTTCCTCGTCGATCTCTCCGATCCCTTGAATAACCGACCCAAGTTACTTGAAACTACCCCTCTTGGGAATGACTTGAGAGTCAAGCCTCACGTTCACTCCCGCTTCCATCGGCTCGACCCCAAATTTGCACTCGAGGTATTCCGTCTTCGTCCTGCTCAACTTGAAACTTTAGACTCAAGGGCATGTCTCCAAACCTCTATCCTCTGATTGACGTCGCCTCGTGTCTCGTCAATTAGAACTATGTCATCAGCAAATAGCATGCACCATGGCACCTCCCCTTGAATATGATGAGTTAGTGCATCCATCACTAGGGCAAATAGGAATGGGCTAAACGCAGACCCTTGGTGCAACCCCGTAACAACCGGTAAATGCTCGGAGTCGCCTCATACTATCCTAACTCGAGTCTTAGCTCCATCATATATGTCTTTAATCATCCTAATGTAGGCAACCAGAACCCCTTTAGCCTCAAAGCAGCTCCATAAGACCTCCCTAGGAACCTTGTCGTACGCTTTTTCTAGATCAATAAACACCATGTGGAGATCCTTCTTCCTATCCCTGTATTGTTCCACCATCATCCTAATAAGGTGGATAAGTTTTAGGGTAGATCGCCCGACATGAACCCGAACTGGTTGTATGAAATAGACACCGTCATTCACACTCTTATTTCTACCATTCTCTCCCAAACTTTCATGGTATGACTTAGTAATTTGATACCCATATAGTTGTTACAGCTCTAGATATCGCCTTTGTTCTTATACAACAGAATCATTGTAGTCCACCTCCACTCTTCAGGCATCCTATTAGTCTTGAATATAACATTAAACAACTCAGTAAGCCATTCCAATCCTGCTCTACCCATACACTTCCAAAGTTCAACCGGAATTTCGTCTGGCTCGGTAGCCCTGCCCCTTCTCATCTTACACATCACCTTCATGACCTCATCGAACTCAATGTCCCTACAATAACTTAATTCATGGGGACTGTCGGCATTCCTCAATTCACCTAGTATAATATCCTGATCCCTTTCTTCATTTAGAAGTTTATGAAAGTAGGTCTTCCACTTCCTCTTAATCTGGTCATCCCCCATCAAAACTTTGCCGTCATCATCTTTTATGCACCTCACTTGGTCCAGATCCCGAGCCGTTCTCTCTCTCACCTTAGCCAGTCGGAATAAATTCTTATCCCCGCTTTTGTTCCCTAGTTCCTCATACAGATGAGCAAAAGCTGCAGTCTTAACCTCCATGACTACCATCTTCGCCTCCTTCCTAGCTACCTTATACCTCTCACTGTTCACTCTCCTCTCCTCCTCGCTAGTGCTCTCTACTAATCATAGGTAAGCCGCCTTCTTTGCTTCCACTTTACCTTGGACAACTGCATTCCACCACCAGTCTCCTTTGTGGCCACTGGTGCGGCCTGAAGATATCCCTAATACCTCTCTCGCCGCTGTTGTCGACCACATAGTGTTTGCGTCCCCACTATTTCTCCAAGCTCCCATTGTCGATAACCTTCCTTCCAACTCCTGAGCTTTATCCTTAGTCAAGGTGTCCCACCTAATCCTCGTTCTGGCCTCTTCTTCCTCCTTATCATAATACCAATGTCCATCACCAAAAGCCTATGTTGCATTGCGAGGGTGTCACCTAGGATAATCTTGCAATCCTCGCACAACCTTCTGTCACATCTCTTGAGGAGGAGATAGTCAATCTGAGTCTTCGCCATCGAACTTTGGTAAGTAACCAAATGCTCCTCCCGCTTCAGAAAACTTGAGTTTGGAATCACTAGATCGAATGCCTTGGCAAAGTCCAACAGCGAAGTGCCCCCTCCGTTCCGCTCCCCGAAACCGAAGCCGCCATGCACCTTAGTATAACCACCTACAGACGACCCAATATGACCATTGAAATCTCCTCCTATGAATAACCTCTCGGAAGGTAGAATACTACGAACGATCTCATCCAATCCCTCCCAAAAGCGCCTTTTAATCTCCTCATCCAAGCCTGCTTGCGGCGCATACGCACTAATGACATTTAAGGTACACTCACCCACCACCAACTTAATAGTCATTAATCTATTATTCACCTGCCTGACCTCTACCACCGACTCTCTAAGATAGCTATCTACCAGGATACCACTCCATTCTTACCCCACAGGACTCTAGAGTACCACAACTTATACCCATCCGCGTTTTTCGCCCTCAATCCGACCCACCTAGTCTCCTGGACACACGCTATATTAATCTTCCTTTTCTGAAGGATCTTCGCCAACCCTATAGACTTACTCGTTAGTGAACCTATGTTCCATGGCCCGATTCTCAACCTATAAGCTCCCTTGCCCTCTCTACCTCCCCTGCCTCCGGTCTCGCCCCCTGACCCCCGCCCCACCCGAGGACATGCCCTTATTCTATCATCCCAGACTACAACCACTACACCTACGACAATCTAAAGAAGACTCGCTAGTGCACAATGGACAACGAATCAAACTAGAAGGAAACAAGTGACTACTAGCACACTAGTTGAATGATTGAACTATTGCGAACTATTGTAACATCAAGTTTGCTAACACCAAAAGGGAAACAGTAAAATAGGAGGTACCAACTCCCAAGAACAAAACCTGTGATTGATTTGTTGTACTTGATGTAGTTGTACGCTCACGCCCCGCTTCCCACCACCCTTTGCTGACACTCGCCCAGGCTGCTCTCCTTTGCTAGCGCTCGTGTGCCCAACTTGTCTCCAACAACCTCGAGAATTTCCCTGAAAACACAAAAAATACCATGACCCAAAACCCAAAAAGGGGTTGTCACTACTACCATTGGTGTAGCCTTGACAGTAGTAGGGGAAATATAGGGAAAAAGTAGAGAACTACACAACACACAAATTAATTTAATTTCCAACACCAAATTGACAATCAATACAATATTTCACAATAAGAAATTAACGTAATCTGCAAAAAGCCACCAACTTTATCATCAACCATCCATAAATACGACAAAATTGCAGCGGTAAAAACCCAAAAGTGTACAATCCCTCAAGTCAGCAACAAATAAAGCAAAGGAACAAATTATTAAATTAACTAAAAAATAGGTATAGGTAATTTTCAACCAACCGGATCAATTTATTTAACAAAACAGAGATTAAACAAATTCACGAAAGGCACAAAAAATTGACGAGAAAATCAGATCCGTGCTCAAGTTAACAGATCTGAAACATATAATCAAATATGTACAATATACATAAAGGAAGACAAAAGAAGAAAGAAATTTAAAAGAAGAAAACTGGAACACACAAAACACCCCACGTGACCAAGAAAAATAAAGGAAATGTCGGGCTGCCACCGCCTCCACTGGTGAACACGGATATGGTGTTAGCCCAATTGGGGTCACCAAAATGGTCTGATATCGTTGGAGAATAGCAGTGGGGCAGAGACACAGCGGGCATATAAAGAAGAAAAAAAGATTAAAGAAGGAGAAAAGAAGCACAGGGGAGGGGGTTGGGCTGCAACCGGACTAAATAGAAGAAGAAAGGAGAGACAGGCCGGCCTGAGGACAAGTTGCCAGGAAAAAATGGCTGCTGCTAGGGTTAAGAGGGAGGAGAAGAAGATAAAGTGAAGGGGGGCAAGAGAGAAGGGAGTAGAGAGAGAATATAGAGAGGAGAGGGTGGGGTGGTCGGGTCATTTACCTGGTCACCATCGCCGAAGAATTCGCCCGCAAAGTAACAGTCGATAATCGAGGCCGAGGAGAGAGAAAGCAAGAAACTCAGTAACGGTCTAATTTTCACTTCAGCATAATATCATAGATAAAGAGTAAAAGCTCTAAAAGTATATAATAAGTTTAAAATTAATACAACTGTCTAAAACTCCCAAAAACTGGTGTCACTAAGCACATGAGCTCTAAGGATTACAAATACAAAGTCGGAAAGAAATACGATATTGTCTAATACAAATAAATAGAAATAGAGATAATAAAGGTGACTCCAGAGTCTACGAAAGAATATGCAGAACTACCTCAAGGCTCCCAAATATCCAAACTAAGCAGCTCTCGAGACTTCGCTGGGACCAGTGCTTGGATCTGGACAAGAAGTGTAGAAGTGTAGTATAAGTACAATCAAACCCATGTACCCAGTAAGTGTCGAGCTTGATCTCGATGAGGTAATGACGAGGCTAATACAAGAAACCTACTTATAAACGTGTGCAGTTAATAAGTAAGAGAAATAACAAGAGTATCACGACCCAAAACCACCACCAAGCGTGATGACGCCTAACCTACTTGCTAGGCAAGCCAGTCATAAAATAATAACAGAAACATGGTAACGAATTATAGAATAGACAAGTCTAAAAGACTAATAACCAGAAATAATATCAAATCATATTACAACTTTCCAAAACTGGTAATGCTGAGTCATGGGCTTTACAATATGAATACAAGTCTGAACTATAAAAATACTGTCTGAAACAACAATAACAGTAAATAAACATAGGAAGAGATGCTAGAGATTGCGATCAAGAAGAAACTCTACTCTCCAAAACTCAATGAACAGCTCCGGTCACATAGCCCGACTAGATCCAACTCTTAAAATAATTAAGTGTAGAGTGTAGTATGAGTTTTGGATGAAATGATATAGCTGGTGCATTCTTGTTCCTAGTGTTGTTCTCCACGTCTCGCATTTGTGAGTTCTGGCTCGCAAATGCGAGCCTTTCTTTTGCAATCAAGACATCGTATTTGCGGGCAGGGGCATGGTCTAGGTGATCTTGCAATTGCGAGAAATGAGTTCGCACTTGCGAACTATCTAAAGCCACATTTATGATGCAGTATTCTGAGGAGTGAGCTTCACATTTGCAAAGTAATTTACCGCATTTGTGAGGGGGATGTTGATGATAGGCTATAATTATGTATTTTAGTCGATTATTACACTCTAATTTACTGCACTTTAATTGAGTTTGAGCTTTAATCGCTAGTGTTTTGCACTAATTGTGTGTTTTATGCCTTATAGGAGTGATTCCGAGCTATATAGATATTATAGAATGAATTCAAGTTATTTGAGCTTTGAAGTCTGAGTAAAAGTCTAAGGAATTAAAACAAGATCGTATTTAGGGTTCAAATTTGATAGTTAAGAACAAACGAAGACTCGAGTAGGCATATTGCACTATCTAGTAAAATAGACATAACTCTTTGATCCAAACTCCATTTAGTCTATATAATACATGATTGGAAAGATAATACAAACACCTACAACTTTAATATTTTATGTTTTTCCAAAATTCAAATGGAACAGGGTGAAAAACGCGGTCGAAACCGCGACCACGGACCTGGACGCGGACTGAGGCAGTTCATTGGGAAAATACCGCGCCCGGACCGCGACCGCGAGTATCCAGACCTGAAAAATTGTCATTTTTCGCATAGGAGAAGGTATAATTATTTGGGTCCGACCCTACTTGGTATATATACATGGAAAAATGGTATTTTGAGGAGGTTGGACAGATTTTTGACACAGATTCGACCTAATGAGGCAGAGACACAATAGGAGCAAGACGGAGAATTCTTCTACGAGTTTTTCCTTCCTCTTCCTATTTTTCATTGTTGGTTATGACTTTTAGTATTGTAGTTTTACATACTATTATGAATAGCTAATTTGTTATCTAGGGTTTTGATGGAACCTTTTGTAGGATAAATTCTTGTTATGTTTTTATATCATTAAGCCGTTGGATTTCTCTACTTATTCAACTACGTGTTTATTGTTGTTGATTGAATGACCATCGATTGACTGTGCCTATTTATTATGTGTTGCTTGAGAAATGATACATATTTGGGTGGTTGTTGAACAACGTCACTCCTAACGTATGTGAGAAATCAATACAATGGGTTTAAAGGTAGGTTTAGAAATAACAAAGCCTTGATGTGGTCATAATGAGCGGTTAGATAAAGCCAACTAGCGTAGTTCGAAAGAATATGTCTAGTAAATTATTGTAGTTTCTCGAGAGAGGATTACGAAATCTAAAGTGTTCACGATTAGTAGAGAATACATAGGCGAAATTGTTGGGAACATAGCGGGAAGGATTCCAACATTTGGGAAAATCATAACTCTAGACCTCCTTAGTTTTGTCTCAAATTTCATTATTGTTAGCTGATAATTTTACTGCTTTATTATAATGTTAGTTAATTAGTTAGAAATAAATATTATAATCTCTATAATTAGGAAATTGTTTGGACTTGTGGTTCTTAGCAATATTGAACAACTGTAACTAAGCCTTAGTTCTCTGTGGGATTCGACTTCGGACTTTTAGACCGGAATATATTTGCAGCGACCGCTTATCCTTTTTAGGACTAGAGTTGGGCGTGATCAGTTGTTCGCGTTTGCTAACATGATGTTGCAATTGCGATTACTAGGCTTCTGAGGCAGGGTTCACACTTGCGACATTTGTCTCACCTTTGCGAGCATTTATTTACAAATGCGACATCTGCAGCAGGGTAAAAGATAAAAAAATCAGGACTTAGCTCATTTTACACCATTTCTCAACCTTAAATACTCTAAAGGCAATTTTTCAAGAGATTTTTCTTCCCAAAATCATTAGTAAGCAACTTTAATCCATTTCTTTTTAATTACCCATTACTTTTGATGTGTTTTCAACATCAAATCTAGAATTTTAATGGTAGAAATTAGGGATTTGAGTAGAAATTGTAAATTTTATAAAATTGAGATTTAGACCTCAAAATGTGTTCATATTTCGAAACAAATCACATAAACTGGCTCGGGGGTAAATGGGGAATCGGGTTTTGGTCAAGCGAGCCCGGGTTAACTTTTGTTGACTTTTTTCAAATTCATTAAAAATTGAATCTTTTTCACTCGTGGGTAGTTTTTAAAGCTTAATTTGGATTATTTAAACTATATTTGATTAGATTTGATTGGGTTGGAGGCTAATTATAAAGGAAAAGATGTCGTTGTGCCTTGACTTGAGGGATTAGGACTTGTTGATCTATTTTCTACGTGTATTATGTGTGGGGACAACATATATGAAATGACGATCAAGAATATATGTGTTGCCATTGGGTTAAAGCATGTGGGTAGAAATTGCTTCTTTGTGTTTGATTGTTTCATTGACTATGTTTTCCATGCTTAGGTTAGATTATTACTTTAATTATTTGTCTCGGATTTATTGTTTATTTCAAAAATGTTGGAAATCTTGAAAGTTGAGTTTGTTATCATGACATTATAATTGAAGTGAAATTGCTTCCCGTCTTGCATTTTTAATTCAAATTTGTATTGTTGCTTAATGAGGAAGAGAGAAAAGCATGAAGGGTGTTGTCGTGCCTTATTTGCACACATTATCGTCTATTTAGAGGTTGTGAGGATTAAAGCATGAAGAGTGATGCCGTACATTTGATTACTTATCATCATTATCATATCATGTGAGGTTGAGAATAAAAGTACGAAGGGTGATGACGTGCCATTTTATTTATGATATTACATGGCGAGGACGAGAGTAAAAGCACGAATGGTGATGTCGTGCCATATTTATTACATTGCCTCATTTAATTCCCAGAATAGTGATTTACTTGGTTATAATGTTGCTCATTTCGGAAAGATATTATTTGGTGATTTCAAACTTGTCGTTCTTATAATATTTCCTTTCGTATGTCCCCTCCTAGTTAATATTTTAACTGTTCTACTTGTTATTTTGTTGCTTTATATATATACTGTACAAGATTTTACGTAGGTGTCTTGTCATAGCTTCTTCACTACCTCGTCGAGGTTAGGCTCAACACTTACGGAGTACATTGGATCGGTTGTACTCATGCTATACTTTTGCACTTCTTGCCCAGATACTGGTGTTGAACCAGCGGTGTCTAGAGGTGTTCTACTCGGATTCAACTACATTTGGAGACTTGAGGTATAACTGCACAATGTCCGCAGCCCTGAGGTCCCCTTTTTTATCTATTCTATTATTTATCTAGTCTCAAAAAATTGTATTTGCTTCAGACCATATGTGTAATACTCTAGTTGCTCATGTATTCGTGACTCCAGATTCTAGGAGATGTTTAGATATCGTCATTAGTACTCTATTGCTCCATTTTAGACTTTTTCAGTTTATTGTTTGTTAATGTTTTATTTGGATTGTTAAAATTGGTTAAGAAATATAGCTAGCGTTGGCTTACCTAGCAAGTGAAATGTTAGGCGGCATCACAGTCTCGAGTGTGGGATTTGTATATGTCCGAATTTGATCGACCACGACCTACAGCGAGCACGACAAACGACCGAGTACCTACAAGTCGACGCCCAGAGAGATACGACCTTGTAGTAAAAGAAGAGATAACATGACCTCGGCAGTAGAATCATCCCGTTAGGAGACCTAGAGAATATTCCTTAGATAATTCTTTTCTTGTCGATTCTGTGTTTGGAAGAAACTCCTTAGTATATAAGAAGGTTGAAAGCCTTGTAAAAAGGGGGGACTTTATAAAAAACTCACCGCTTTGAAAGAAAAGAATATTGACAACTCACTTCTCTCTATTATTATCATCCTAGAGTTTATTATCTTCAGCTATGATTTACCCCTTCATCTTTAATTGATTTGTCCAAAAAGAGTTTAACATCTTTTGAGTCAAACAATTTGGCACCGTCTGTGGAGATTTTCACAGCTGAAATCATAGTTCTCATCTAGGTTCTGGAAAGTGACAATTACTGTTCTTCAAACCTCATAAAAACCAACAATGGCAAAAAAAGAAGCGAGGCTGAAGATGATAGCGTATGTCTCAAACAATCTCCTGAACTCCCTCAACAAAGTCGGTAGGGAAGACACTGAGAACACAACACCAAGAGTTACACCAGAGGGAGAGATCTCACCTTCTCCATACGGGGATCTAATGGTCTTACACGAAATGGGAGCTTCAACGTCCATGGCGGGGGAAACACCACCAGCAGTCAAAAAGCTGCTAGAAGAGTGGTTGACAAGTGCTCTGAGCAACATGCTCAAAAAACCCCCTCAAAGAGATGTCGAAAACTTGCCGCCTACAAAAATCGCAGCTACCACCAATAAGCCGAGCACTACACGAACGGGTAACACCCGCACTGTCAC